CAGCCTGTGCCCTGTAGTACACCCGGGGTTGGGGAGGAGGACAGGCAGCACCTCAGAGACACAGGGATTTGTAGGCCCAGAGGGGCCAGAAACAAATACCACCACAGGTCACCTAGTCCATCCATGGTGCAGCTGAGACAGGAACTGGGATGTCCCAACTCCTAGCCAGGGCTTCTGACCAAGAACTTTCACATTTAGCCCAGCTGTCATCTGGCCAGTGGGTATTAGCCACCAGTTGTGTGCCTGCCCCGAGCAGGGCTTTACTGGATGGAACGGGTGTACCTATCTCTTTGCAGAGAGGAGACTTGTCCTGGGAGATCAAGGGAGGCCAGAGGCCAGGTATAGTTCCAGGAAGAGCCCTAATCAGGGCAGGGAGTGCTTCCTGGAGGAGGCACAGTTGGAGCTTAACGCTGAGGGTGGGTGAGATTTGGGTGCAGGAAGGGCATTCTGGTGAAGGGAATTACATAAGCAAAGGCCAAGCAGCTGGAATGAGTCTGTGTCACTCAGAGGACAGTGAGGAAGGAGACCTGCCTGGCTGGACTTGGTGGGGTTGGAGACCAAGGATGGAAATGCCCAGTTAGAAATGGGAGAACCTGGTGTGGTGTCCTGGCAGGACACATCTAGGCATATGTACATCCATGACACGCAAACCATAGGTAATGCACACATGTGTGTGCAGGTATATGTACACACCTGACCAGTCGCACCTACAACATGTACACACGACGTAGGAGCAAATGCCCAAGCCCTTAGAGACCATATTATGTCCAGTTGGAGGGAAAGGATGTTGGCTTGTGAATCATTGGAAACCAGGACAGGGTGAGGTGGAATAAGAGATACCTTGAAGGTCCACAACCTGCCTCTTCGCCCACAGTTCTCCAAAGACGTCCTGGTCAACATCTATTCTGCCTACATTGATAACTTTCTCAATGCAAAGGATGCCGTGCGTGTGGCCAAGGAGGCGAGGCCTGCCTTTCTCAAGTTCCTGGAGGTACTGTGGGCTAGCTCAGGGGGATGGACATGACCCTCCTCATGGACTAGCTTTGGTGGGGGATTGCCCAAGAGCTCCCAGCCTGGGCACCACAGCCTTAGTATGTGGGTCAGCCTTTGCTCTTGGGCTGGCCTGGAGGGGCTGGCTGGGGACCCATCCCTGGACATTCCCTTCTTCGCATGACATTCCTCACCTGGGTACCCATCCACCTTGTTTCTGGTTTCAGCAAAGCATGCGTGAGAACAAGGAGAAGCAGGCATTATCTGACCTCATGATCAAGCCTGTACAGCGGATCCCACGCTATGAGCTTCTGGTGAAGGTGAGCATGGGGTCCGTGGGCAGGGAGGCAAGGCCTGGAGGATGCAGGGGGCTCTGAGGCCCCCACTTGGTCGAGCCTGGCATCAGAGTCCCCAGGGGTTGGGTAGGAAAATAAGTCCTCTCTGGAATCCACCTATAGTCCCTCCGAGTCCAGCAGTCGGTGTGGGCCCCAGGGTCTGACAGGGGCAGCTAAGCAGGGGTCTGGTCCTCATTCCTACCCCAGGACCTCCTGAAGCACACACCTGAGGACCACCCAGACCACCCGCTCCTGCTGGATGCTCAGCGGAACATCAAACAGGTGGCTGAACGCATCAACAAGGGTGTGCGGAGTGCCGAGGAGGCAGAGCGACATGCCCGTGTGCTGCAGGAGATTGAGGCTCACATCGAGGGCATGGAGGATGTGAGTGCCATCCCACTCCACCCATGCCTTTGTTCACGTCTGTGGTCACCTGAGGTCATCATGGTCACGTCCACATCCACAGCAGTGTCTGCAGTGTGTTTGCGTCCCTGTCTACCAGCGTCCCCACACATCTTTGTCCAAGTCCATGTCCTCTTCCATGCCGGTCTCTGGCCTCATGTCCTGTGGTCTGACAGCACAGCATCAGGAGGAGGGATGGGATGTGCTTCTATGGCCTGGCACATGGAGTGGGGCCAAGGGGTCACCAGGGTCTAGGAAGGAGATGGAATTAAGAATTGGCCTTCAAGATGCATTGTCTCTCCTGCCCCACAGCTCCAAGCCCCTCTGCGGCGGTTCCTAAGGCAGGAGATGGTCATTGAAGTGGTAAGAAGTGGCCCGTTGTCTACCCACCTGTTCCCATCTCTCCACTTTGTTCGTACTCCTGCTCATACCTGCTGCCCATGGGCCTGCCTGCTCTTCCCCACAACAGGAGTCCCGGGTCGAGTCCCAACTCTGCCTCTGCCTCTGGGAATCAGGGGCAGAGCCCTCACCCCTCTGTGGGCCTGGCTGTCCCCTTGGGCACTGTGGGCAGGAGGGTGGGCCTCTGGGCCTGAGTCCTGCCTCGGGCCCCACAGAAGGCAGTTGGTGGCAAGAAGGACCGGTCCCTCTTCCTGTTCACGGACCTCATTGTCTGCACCACCTTAAAGCGGAAGTCAGGCTCCCTGCGGCGTAGCTCCATGAGCCTGTGAGTGGCTGGGGTGGGGCTGGGCTCTGGCATGGGGGGAGCAGTTGTCCCTCCCTGGGCCCCACTCCGCTGCCCAGGCCAGAGCACCCCATTGGCTCCCCACAGGTACACGGCAGCCAGCGTCATTGACACGGCCAGCAAGTACAAGCTGCTGTGGAAGCTGCCACTGGAAGATGCGGACATAATCAAAGGTGGGGCTGGCCCAGGCCTGCCCAGGGCTTCTGGGTGTTGGGGTCCTCCTCTAAGAAGCCCTCCTGGAGGGTTTGAGCTGTGGCCAGGCTGGCTGCCTATCCATCTGCTTTTCTGCTTTGGGGCCTCACTTTCCCATCCAGTAGAAGGCGGGTTGCATGTAGGATGGGTTTGTCCCCCACAGAACCACACCAGACCCATCTGTGCAGATCACCTTTGACTGGGCAGGGACCTAACCTAGGCTGGAGCAGTACAGAGGCCACAGACGTGCCCTCCACCAGCCACTGACCACCGCACGAGCATCCCCTTAGGTGATGACACACTGCTCTGGTCCAGCAGTTTCACTCCCAGGGAGCAGGGCCTCAGTCAAGTCAGTCCAAGCACAAGGCTGGTTGGAAAGATCTGTGTTGTTTGGGGCAGAGGCTGTCAGGAGCTGAGGTGGTTTCAAAGAGCTGCTCCTCCTGCTGTGTGTACATGTGTGTCTGTGTCTCCATCTGTCTGTCTCTCTGTGGTTCTTCCTGTTCTCACTGCTCTCAGCTTTCTCTGCTTCCTCCTTCCTTCTAACTCCTGTGTTCCTTCATGGCCTGTTCTGCATCATGGCCTTTCTCCCTAGCTGCTCCAGGATCCGCAAGTCCCCTTGAGGGGGATGGTTGGTCTGGGATGGTGGCGTGGGCACCTCTGGGCTGGCAGTCAGTTCAGGTCCAGGCTCTGCCCCTAGGCTCACCTGAGGTGGCCCCCGGGGTGACCCCAGGCCTGCCTCATGTGGGCTCCTGTGTAGGGATACAAGCCAATTATCGGTCCCGTTTGTCTCTTCTCACTGGAACACAGGCCAGTTGATAAAATGACTAGGTTAGGTGTCTACTTCTGATTCAGTCAAGTATGGCTAGAGAGGGGCAGGGTCATATGGAAGAAAACACGGCTGTCCTGGCAATGAGGGTTATGGGGAGACAGTTTCCTTCAGAAGGAGTAGGAGAGGTGTGCCTGGGC